CTCGGAATTTGAGCTGCGGACTTCACCACTGCTACGTAGCAGGGGAGGACTCCGTGTCAGCTCTGTGAAATTTTTACCTCTTATGGCCCACAAAACTCGCTCCAAGCCACAATATTTTCACACTGTCCTGCATATTTCAAGCTCCTTATAGGACCAATGTCTTTGATATGGAGGTTCCCTTCCGAGGGTCGAGGAGACAGAAAATGGCTCTCCCTTTCCGAGCCCCTCAAAGTGGTACGGCCCGCTCCGCCACCGTCACGTGGGCTCCTCCTCTGTGACGTCACGTCTTCTCTGTAGCAAAGCTCGGCCTCTGGAATTCTGAGAACTAATTTGCTATTCGGTGACATAAGAGGCGGAGTGCTCTTTGCTTTCCCCGGGTCTCGGGCTAATTCTTCCTCTCTTACCCATAAACTCAGCTCCTCGAGCTAAATACACAAAAGGGAGCGAGAAATTTGAATTATTGGAACAATGATATTACGTATAGGAGGTTTAGAGAGGCGAGTAAGAGGAAAACAAAAAAAAAAAAAAAACAATAAACACCACAGCTCTTTCCAGCTAGAATATTAGGCACCACGAGAAAAATATTTGCCAAGCAGTTTTCGGTGGGTTCGTTTGCTTTATTTTTATTTGGGACGAGGCGGGTTGGGGTGGGGAATGTTTTTGGTTTTTGACTCTTTGTTTTTGGTGTGGTGGCTTGTGATTTCTGGTGGTTATATTTTGATGATTTTCAGATTCTTCTGATTTTTGCCTTTTGCAAGTTTGTGGTGTTACGTAAATCATAGGATCCGTCATCAGCTGTGTGAGTGTGTGTGTGTGTGTGTCTTTTCCTAGCTAATTGCTCAAGCATATAAGATGCATTATTTCAATCCTGATACTATTGGAAGACGCTTGAATTTTTGGTTATCTGTGACAATCCCAACCCCCACTTTTTTTTTCTTCCTTTGCTGTGATTTCCTTTTTTCCCTGGACTTTTGTTGAAGGGAGGCTCTCCTGCACTTGAGAGAACTGTTCAAAGGATTTGTTTTAGTTCAGTTTGTTTCTTTCCAGGACAAGCAAGCAGTGGATTTGCTCTTTCTGTTATTGTTGACTCTTAGGAAATTTCTTCTTACTGCAACAAACGTGTGCATTGGAGTATGTGTGTGCATTATCCTACAAAATTTGGAGCCAAATGCGTGTTTGTGTTTTGCCTTTTCTTAAGGTCTTGAATTCCACCCCCAACCCCAGCTCCTTTCAAGGTCGTTGTAAAAAATCTCTTCAGTCTGTGGAAGGGATCAGCCGGAGGGAATTCTAAAGGCCTGCCTTGCCAGTATCTCAGATACTGCGAGTATTCAGAACAGGCTGTGCTATAACTAAGGCGCACTCCTCTGAGCACAGTCCTGTCAGCGCTGGAGGAGAGTTGGGGGAAAGAGGAGAGGGAGAAATGCATCTCTTTTTCTTTATTCCTTTCATTTAAAAGGCAAACTCAGTGCAGAATCCTTTCACTGTGGGCCCTGGTTTGTTTGTTCAGAGATGCTAGCTTTCCTATTTAAATGTTGGTTGGGGTTTTTTTCCCCCTCCTACTCATCCCTGAATGAGGGAGATTCTTGTTTCCTTTATGTCTCTCTGCTAAAAGAAGGGTGTGAGGGGAAAATAATATTTCAGATTCCTCAAGAATTAACCCAAAACGTTTGGACCCAAAGCAGCTTTCAAAGGTCAGGCTGTTCTGAGCTTTGGCTGAGAGAGTCCTTCAGGCGACTCATTAAATCCTGAATGAGTTCTTAAAGGTTCCAAAATATTTCTTCATATATTAATTTCTAGTAAAGATATCTTGCAAAAACAGCCTGCCTAGTTCAACCTCAAGTTTGAGTTTATAATGGGCAGAAGCCTGCCATTTGTTTGCTGGGATACAGGAGACCTCAACGCTGATAGTCCCCCCAAGAAGTTTCACCCATTCCAGAGAATGCTCCTGTCAGTGTACCACTCCCCAGACACACACACACACACACACACACACACACGTGCACACTCCTCAAAAGGCTGTGTGTTGCCTGTTTCACAACCAAGGGAAGTCCAAAAAGGTTGATTATGTTCCACAAGGCCTAGAGCTTAAGAAGTATGCTTAAGTGTCTGTCCCTGTGAAATGTGAATGTTTTAATACGTATTGACAGATGGATTACTGCAGCTTCTGCAGAAAAGCCTGTCCTGTGAAGGATTTCTGGAAAATATACATAGGCCTAATCCTGTCACTGTTGTTGAAATGAATACTGTACCCCAAAGACGCACGACTCGGTCAAGTGCGAATTCTGGCTGCTGAGAGGCAGAATACCTGCCTGTGTATTTGCGTCCCCTTTCCTCCTGTTTTGAGGAGCTTTACACAAATCCACTGGACCCAGAGTGACACTCCGATTTTGCTAAGATGGTTTCTTTGTGTGTTTATATGTCTGATTTTCTGTCTTTTGTAAGGAATAAGCACTTTGGAATTTCTCAGGCGCACCTATATGGTTTGGTATGTGCATTCTATGGCTCTGCTGTATTCCTGGTCTTATAATAGGATTACTTTTGTGACATTTGGCCACCTGTCAATACTGCCACATCCCCTGCCCCCCTGCCCCCAATTTTAAACGCTCACAGCGGGTTGCTCTTGTGTTCCCATTGCCACTCCACTCTTAGCCCCGTGGGGGCGCTGCCGAGCAAAGGGAAATCTGCTCCTTCAGGCAGAGGGAGCCTAGGTGGGGGCTGGGCAGGAATTCACCCTTCTCTGGCCTCAGCCCTGTTAAACTCTGCTGGGAGACTCAGGAGGGAGCAAGAACCCTCCAGACTCCCTGTGTACACAGTTAACCCCTATAGTAGGCACTCAAACCTTAGCATTTTGTTTCTGGCACCAAGTGTCAGAGTCCACGTTTGTTCAATGTGTTTAGGTGTAAAGAAATTGACCAGCATTGGAGACCCATTGCAGATGGGTCTAAATAATGGGAAATAAGAAAGATTACTGAGAAAAGAAAGATTGATTATTGAAAATATTCTGGACACTTACTTTTAGATGTGCTTCTTTTTTTCAACTGAGTGGCTAGTGAGGAAAATCCTGCACCCTCCGTCTCAATCTCTTCAGTTCCTAGGAAAGTAACCTCGTCAAATTTCATACCAATTTAATTTCTTCCTGAATGTGCTTCCTTCTTACTGTGCCTGGTCTCTGCGCAGTCCATTCCCACTGGCATTGTGATGTGAGCCTCCCTCCTTCCCTCTAGCAAGGTTCTTGTGTAGGAGTAAAGGACTGACTTGAATATATTCAAATTATTTTCAATCATTTTAGGAAGCCCTGAAGAGTGGTTCCATGCCTAGGATCTTGTGAGTGATTCCTGCAGTCCTCAGGACACTGTCCAGCAACTAGTGTCATCATTTAATGGTCACCGGTTGTTAGTACTTGGAGGACCAGGCCAGGATTGAGCACAGGAATAGGTTCCCGATTACAGCTGCTGGGTAAATAGGCGCTTTATTACAAAATACCATGGTCCTAATATTACATCTATTTAAGGAAAGGAAGGCATCTTACATCCAGTTAGCATCACAAAACCTTTCTCACAATTCAGTTTCAGCTGAAAAGGAACATGGTCTGATCTGTCCTCCTTCATCTCCTCTGCTCTGCTCTCTTTATCTTTTTCTCTTTCTTTTCTTTTTCCTGTACTAGAACTTTTAAACTGAGCTACCACCGCAGTCCATCTGGAACTTTCGCTTGTTTTTTTGGTATTTTGAGACAAGGTCTTGCTAAGTTGCCAGGCGAGGCTTGAATTTGCAATCCTCCTGTCTCAGCCTTCCTGGCCTCTCAGGAGCTCAAAACAGGAAGTGGGTTTTACCTGTCAGAAACCTTTAGTACCTTGGTAAATCTTTAAGTTAACAGATCACAGGATTATAGGCTTAGGAACTGGAAGGTTTGGGAGAACTCTCACAGATAATCACTCCTCCAGGATTCCTCCTTTCCAGAGAATGAACTGGCCTCTCACAAGAAATACGACCCTAGGAACACAACTGAAAATGGGCCTGTGGTTTGATAGTCCTGTGTTACCTTAGCAAATCAGGTTGAGCTGGGTTTGGAGGTAGGTATCCTGTTTTTTTTCAAACCTAAGGAAAGCAAGGCTTCTTCAAACCCTGTGTAGACTCTAAACTGGGCCTCAGAACCAGCTCCTGGTAACCGTGAGTATGGCAATCTTGATGGTTGTTTGGGCCTGGTGATTTTGTGACTGTGTCTACAGTACTTGACACTTTACTTTTGATGAATGCCAAGGATATTATCTGTCTGATTTGTTAAATTTTGCCTCCTTGTTTTACTTCAAGTCCTTCATTTAAAACTGCTTTAAAATAAGCTCTGTATATTATCCTTGGACAAAAGAGTTTCTCAGTAAGTCTTAAAGAAACTGAGACCAAGGATGTAGACCAGGGTGGTAAAAGCAGCTGCCTAGCCTACTCGGGGTCTTGTTTTAGATTCCCAGCATTTCCAAAATAAAATAAAATAAAATAATTAAAAATAAATTGAGCAGAAAATTTTGAGACATTTAAAACAAATAAAGAGGATGATTTCCAACCACTGGCTTCTGAAAAGGAGGCTTCCAAGTTTAATTTTCATCCACATAATGGGAGTGTCTGGCCTTTATTATTCTGAGATATTTTGCCCCTTTTGCAAACCTTTTCATCCAGGTTCAGAACCCCCCCCCCACACACACACACACGCACACTGCTTTTCCACGCTTTTCTCGCCTACTTGAAATGGAAACAAATATCTCCAGCTTAAAATAGAGAAATGATAGGAGTGTGTGGGGGGGGGCACGTAATCATTTGTTTATTGCATTTGATCTCTGTTTTGAATAACAAGATTTTTACTTCCTGTGAAACCTTAGCAGGAGGGAAGGCAGCAGCTGGACTTGGAGAGGAGAAGTCAGGAAGAGGCTGGGGTGTTTGTAAACTCCAGAGTGGCCACCCTCTGCTGCCTACCCTGCTGAGCCTACCTGTCTCTCTTACCTAAGGCAAGTGGAAAAACTTGATTTGCGTGTTGTGCCTGCAACTTTTTTTTCCCCTTTCTTCTTCTCCACACCGCCCTCTGTACACCTGACCGTGCACAAGCCTATCTGGTGCCGGCTCCATGGCAGGGAGAACTGGAGAGCGGAAGAATGTGCCCAGGGAGGGAGCGCTCGGTACTTTTCCATTCACATCTCCACAGTGGCTTTTCTTGTTTATTTCAACCTCCACCCGCAGAAACCTTTCAGCTGCCTGAAATTCGAGTCATTAAACAGCTCCCTGAGGTCACTCTACAGAGGCCCAGTGCATGTTTCCTACATGTCAGGGTCCATGTAACTTGTGTGCATATAGGGACACAATCCTAGTTGTAAGGGAGCGCGGTGTGAGGGAGGAGAAGAGGGAGGAAAAAAAAAAAAAAACTGCACTCCTTGCCAGAAAACCCTTGGTTTCTAATTACAGCTCTGCCTGGAACTTTTTATGGGACGCAGAGCAAAGTTGCTTGGGAGGACTCAGTTTCCTCCGCTGTGTGAAGCATGACCTAGATGAGTGTGTTTCTGCTCTGAGCTCTCCAGCTGGACATCCAGACACATATTTACATAATTTAGGGTGGGGAGGAGGAGCTCTGTGTATCTGTGTCCAGGGGGTGGGGCAAGGGGTTAAAATACAAACTTCTAAGAAAGCAGTCCTAGAATCCAAACCTCTATCAATTTTTAACCAATTAGAGACCAAAGTCTGGGATTATGCTGAGTCCAAAACCGATTAAAGATTTTAAACGTTAAGAGTTAAAGGAGGCAGGTTTTTAAGACCTTGTACCTTTGATCACTACCATTCATAATCAGAAGTGACACATCCCAGGTGCTTTTTCTGCCTGATAGTTCTTTTTCTTCTCTCTCTGTCTCTTTTTGTTTTTGGAAACTGTCCCAGTCAGGGATAGAAAGGAGATGATATTTGTTAAGTGGGTAGTCTTTAAATTACTAGCTCCATGTGGACATGGAAAATACTTCCTAACATTCTGAACAAGAGATGGAAAAGGGAAGAGAAGCAGAGAGATTCTGGGTAAGAAATATAGCACTGGCGCAAGCATCACCGCACACAAAACAATTATTTAAAGTCAGAGGAAAAAACAGATGGTAGTTTGCCCTAAAAATATAAAGAAGAGAAAGAAAAGAGAAGCACTTTTGATTTACCAGGCCAAACTTGAAAGCAATAAAATAATACTTTCTATCAATATTTTCTATATGTTTTCAGTTTCTATTCTTTAAAAAGAAAGATCCTGATTTTTTCAGATCTGATTGTTGATGAGGTTAAGAGATTCCATCAGCCTCAGGAAATAACAAGTAACTCCTGTTTATTAGCAGTGATCTCCCTCCACTTAGACTGCCTGGGATATTGTACCTATGTGTAAGCAGGGGTAAACTTGCCACAATGCCACAGTGGAAAGCCACCAGCAGGGTAGATCTGGGAGGGTCCTTAGCCTTATGTAATCCAATATTACTGATCTTATAGCTTTGGAAATTGAGGCTCAGACAGAATGCATTTGCTACACAGGCTGTCACAGAGCCGAATTTGATGTTGGTATTCTAAATCCACTATGCTTTTTACGTGGTATATTATGGAAAGAGAGTTATCATGGGCAGTCTCACAAAAGAGTCATTTTCTGGGACATCACATTGGAAAAGGCCGCACATTTATACTTTTGACTATCTCCACTGGGTCTGCACATCATGTTGAGTGGTATAGGAACAAGACTGAAAGAAGACCATCACATATAAGAGCTACTTATGGGTCCCAGTGCAGGACTATAGTGTCTTATGGTACTGTGATTTATTACTGTTCATAAGTCTACATTGGTCTGGTGAATAGTACAATTGTATTGTTCTTATGAGTATGCTAGTGTTAAAAGTGTAAGGTTTGAAATGCACTTGGTTTAGAAGCAATGACAAGCAGTTGGCATGCCTAATTAATGTTCAGATCTGGGTGTCTGATGCCATTCCCTGGTAACAGGAAACAAGGGTTCCTGGGGGAAATGGGGCTCAGTAGACTGGGGCAGAAAGTATACAAAAATGCGACAGAAATGTCATATAGTACCATACAGAAGGGAATTATTTAAATCAAAATGATATCATAGGAGATATTTCAAGGCAATAGGAGAGCCCCTTGAAGCGCTCCTAGTTGTCAAGGTTGAAATAACTGAACAACAAAATAGAATATATTTTGGATTATAACCCAAATTACAAAATAACTACTCACAAGTCCACAGTGATATAAATACAGCATGGAATGAATTAATAAATAGGCAAGAAGAGTCCAATATCCCATACAAAAGAATGCCAAGTAGTTTATATAGATATGCTGTCCTCTAAGAAGGGAAGCATAAATTGCTAGTCTCTTCTACAGACTGGGTATGGTAACATCTTTCCAAGTAGTTCATTATAGAAAAGGAATGAGGGCAGAGTAACTTACCAAAGCAAAATCTCACAACCCCCATCTCAGCCAGCCAATCAAAGTGAATAGGGACAAATCATGTGGATGGTATATCCTATTGACAGTCTTCTTCTAAGAATACTTAACCTAAGCATGAGAGAAACATCAGACAAATAGTCGTAAAGAGGCATCCTACAAATACTTGACTAACAGTTCTGAAAACCATCAAGGACATCAAGACAAGGAAAATCTGAAGATCTACCATAGCCAACAGTAGCCAAAGGAGACACAACAGTGTAATGTAGTGTCCTGGATGGGGTCACAGAATGCAAAGAGACATAAGATAAGCCTTGACACAACTGAATCAGTGATGGACTTCAGTTAACCATGTGTCAGAATGATTTCACTGTTTAAAATGCACTAATTTAAGGTATTAATGAAGCGGAAACTGGCTGTGGTGTTCGCTCTACCATTTTATCAGTTTTCTGTTGAGCTAAAACTGTTTTTAAAGTGAAGTCTTCAAGTTGGAAAAATATACCCATGTGATGTTTGGGATTATTTTTTTCAATAGCAGAAACTTCCTAAAACCTCTGAAAATCCTGCTTCCCACTCAATCATTTTCCTTGCATAGAGTCAGGGAATCAGGGGGCCTCGCTCTTTCTTTTAGTTTACTAAATTGAAAGCAATTGCATCTCTGAATGCCACCATCTGTATAATGAACCATCAGGAAATCACTGGGGAGCTGCCAAAGGCCAGTGAAGTGTCATTATGGGAGTAGGTGACTCAAGCCACTTCATCAATCCCTGCAATCAACATTTCTCTGTGGAAACTTCTGGAGGAATCAAGACCCGCAAAGATCTTGCCATCAGTCCACATGCCACATGGGAATTCACTGCTGAGGTTACAGGAGACCCAAGTGCCCCCTCTAGATTACTTGCTAGTTCATTGCCTGACTCCAGTAGAGCTGGGGTCTCATCAGAATTGTAACTCAAGATGTCTAGAGAAGAAGCATGGATCAGACCCCATCGCTCTATAAGTTTGTCTTCCTTATTTACATAAAACCTCAAAGTCTAAATCTTGAAAGCCTCGATTCTCATCTTTCAACTCACTGGTTCTACCATTGAGAATGGTCCAGAGAGAGAAGTGACTGATAAAGACAACTTGACAGATTCATGATGGGCTTGTTTCCCATCAAGTCCATCTTGAATCCCTTATTTTTCTGCAGTGTCTATTTTTAGTACAACAGAGAACTGCTGCTACATTGACATACATTATAGTTTCAAAAATACTTTACCAGTTTCTAACATGTGTCAGTTACCAATGGCTTTTAGCTCTAATGCTGAACCTGAGTTTTAAGTACCTTTTGCCCTGTTCTCTTCACCTTGCCCACCCCTACCAGCCTCTCTGCCAAGTTTATAAGAACTTTGAACCATCACTTGTATTGGTGAAAGGGAGCGAGAGGGAGTCCTGCTAGTATGTCAATTCACATGACTTTTTCAGAGCTCTACTTGGCCGCCTTGTATCAAGGATCATAAATGTAGCCCTGCTCTTTGGCCCAGTAATTCCACTTATGGGAATGTATCTTCAAAGCATGATTCCACATTGCAGGGGAAAAGGTATGCATCCTAGCATTCTATTTAATAAAATATTTGAACGTGCATGTCTCATTATGACTAGATTGGGAGAAGAGGTATCAGTAGATAAATGATTAAACAAATTACAATAAAATTAATTCTGAAAAAATATAATAAAAATATGTATGACCTATAAAGTAAAGAGAAATAGGGTGTATATATATATATATATACATACATACATACATACACCATATATGTGTGTATAGTATATTCACAACTATGTTTTAAAATGCTCTTCCTAGAAAATAGGCTAGATATAATAAGAATGAATAATGAACAAAAATATTTACAGTGACTATCTTAGGGTAGTAAGATTGGAGACACTTATCTCCTTTATTTTTATATCTGCCAAAATGTTTAATAACTATCTATCATCTATCTCTCACACACTTAAAACATGAAAACCCCTAACTGATGTCTTTTAAATGTAGATAATTATTCACAGTTATGAATATTTGACTTAAAATTGGAGCCACCCACAACTGTAGGGTCCACAGCAAAAATGAGAGCCGCCCACATATTCACGAAGAGACTCTTGCTCTGGATGACACGCATCTCTACAACAAGAAAAGAGACAACAAAATGTGACCCTTTCTGTGTGCACTGACAATAACAAAATGAAGTAGATTCTGTAACCCTTTGATCTGTCTCTCCCCCCCCCCTACGTAGTAGTGTGATTATCTTGATTTTTTTCATGCTCCATGGCATTTAGAAATGTCGAAGGGTTTCCTGGTTACTGTGCTCTCTATGTGAGGCCACTCATATGCTCTCCTGGTAGACAGACCTTCCTTGGAGTAGTCTTGGGTCAACAAGTCATTTATTTATTTTTTTAATATTATAACAATTTGTCATGTGGATGCTGAGGAAAAAAATTAAAAACAAGAATCTCAGGGATTTATCATCAGAGAATCACCAAGGTGTTAAAAAATTTGAGAGATACTGTTTTATTTAGGCTGCTGGCTCTTAAACAAGGGCATGAGTGTAGACATCAGAATTCAGAGGTGAAGAAAGAAATGCAAGTAGTCCCTTAAACCACTGATAGAATTCCTCGTTCTCATCTCCGTCTGTGCACATGTGTACTTCCTTGTTCAAACACACAACTGAATTTGTAGGGCAGACACTGTGCTAGATGCTAGGGCAACAAATATGACTAAACATGGGACCCTGAGCCCCAATGGATGCAACATCTACTGAGGAAATAAAGATCCAAAAAGCTTAGGAAATTTGCTTTAAGTTACACAAAAATCATGCAGGAGCCAGGATTACCTGCCTGCCAAATGTCCTGATTCTGAGCCCAGTAAAACTCCACAGCTTCTTTGCAGAAGCTATTCCCTGAGCCCAGAAGCATTGAGTCCTTCCCAGAGCAGGTTCAACCTCTTTTAAGTGATCCAGTATTGATTAGAATGAAGTGTAACCCAGCCACCTCAATGTATCATCCAGGAAAAACCAATACCCAGTGTGGGAAGATTCGCAAAGACTGATGCATATACAAACTCAGCTTTCTACACCATCACTGCTATGTTAGCTCAGCATTCAGGTGAGAGGTTCACAGCTAAGAATGAACACAGGTTTGGGCTCCAAGCCTACATTCTCATATAACTCTTGACAGCCAATCCTCTTCTTAGGGAACCTGGGCCCAATTTTTAAACCTTTTTGGATCCAGTATCTGATAGGCATTGCTATAGCTAGGCATTGCTATAGACCTCCCCGTGTTGTACTGCTCCAAAATAGATAACCTCAAGGGACATCCAGAGTGTTGGCTCCAAAACCCAATACCATCTCTAGCAGGAGCTGGGCACTGGTAGATCTTGGTGCTTATTCAACCAAGGCCACATTCACACCAGACCTTTGGGTCATCAACCCCTAGGTGGTATCTTCAGGTTCCAGCCCTGCGTCCAGATGAATTTCTATAACATCCTAGACAACAAGATCCAGCCTGCCTCAGGGGTGGACACATCTGCCAGGAGTTGGTCAGACAAGGACACACTGAATATTCTGTTAGTCAGCTTTTCGTTCCTATAAAAATACCTGCAATAACCAATGTATGTATAAAGAAAGCTTTGTTCTGGCTCACAGTTGTAGAGATTGCAGCCATCCTTGATTGGCTCTGTTGCTTTGGACCTACAGTGAGCCAGCACATCCTGGCAGCAGACATGTAGAAGCAAAAAAAAAAAAAAAAAAAAAAATTATATCATAGCTCAGAAGCCAAAAGAGACAGGAAGAAGAAGGGGCTGCAGTCCCCTAGCTTCTCTGAGGGCACACCCTCAAGGCCTCTAGTAACATCTACCTCTTGGCGTTTCCACCACTTTCCAATAGTGGCAAGCCAGAGCCTGAGCCACACACAGTTTGAGGGACACTGTAGATTCAAACTGTCAGGTATGATGACACCTGCATAATGCTGCCAGACAAAATTTAGCCATACCAGAATTACTTGAAAGTTCAGTAGCTTTTAGGGTCTAAATATGAAATCATTAAGACTAACCTTGCCTTTTTGGAGGCAGCGACACTAAAAATGCTTAAAAGAAAATTGGACAGAAAAGGATTAATAGTGATGTTAATAAAGGTCATAAAAAGACTTGATGACATGGTTGTGATAGATAAATGGAATGTGGCGAGACCTCAGTGCCTACCAGAGTCATCCCCTGCCCCAGTTCTCCACACCAGATTCTGAAGCATTCCCCAAGGCCTCGTGCACTTTCCTCTACTCCACACGCATGCCTGATTTCTGCCTGTCCCTGATAAGCTATATGCTCAAGGGTAGAGGTGCATCATCTTTGTTTTCTTAAAACTGTGTCCAGCACATGATGTTCATTTAGAAAATGTTGACTGGGTGAAAGTCGGTAGCACAGCAACAAAAAAATTTGATGTGAAATCTGAGGATCTGGGTTCCAGTTAAAGTTCCACAACTGACTAAATTCTGTGGGTCTCAGTTTCTTGTTCTCTAAAATGGTAATTTCTGTTAAGGGAGTACATTAAAAGATTCCCATGAGAGTTTAGTGCAATGGAGGGAAGGGTGCTTTGAAAATTAGAATGCACAGTATAAAGTGGTTGTTGAATGACTGAGTGCATTGACAGATAAGTGAACTATCACGGTCCTGTAAAGTCATTAAGTTATTTAGTAACACATTTGAAGACTCAGATTATATCTGAGGGAAAATGTCATTTAAGAAGTACCTTGTCTTGACGTTGTTACCATTCTTAAATATGATTATTTCAGTTCCCCAAGTAGGTTAACCCTTTAGGGACTGGAAGACAGAAATGGCAGTTAAGGATTCATACTGATCCAAAAAGAATAAAAAAGATCATCAGAAAGTCGTTTTGTTCTTGAAATGCAGAATTGGAAATGAACCATTTTCCAGTAGTGGGAACTGAAATCCAGTATAAGATCCTCCTTTTTGGTACCTTCTTCCTCTTTCTTCCTCCCCATTTTACCTTAGCTCTTCCCCACCCCTCTCCTGCACCCAAACAGAAAATTAAATGAGTTATTTTGAGCTAACTTCAGTCTTTTAAAAAAGTGCAAGAAAAATCCAACTGTAATAGGGTTATTTCCTAGGATCAATGCAATGACTTTACAAAAAATTTTAAGCAATTGAGATGATAGGTGAATTATCAAAATAAGGATTTAGGATTACAGTACACCGAAAGCCTGAATGACAGGAAGAGTGCTGGCCCAACTCTATCCTAGTTGAAGAATCCCTAAATTTATCCCACCTCCCTCTGCAACAAGCGCAGAGTGGGTCCCAGGAGCATTGAGTTGGACGTGAAGAGAGATCCTGAGAACATACGCTTTTGGCGGGAGAAAAGCAAGAAGGGAAGGAGCTGGAAGGAGCAAGGTTTGCTCTCATAACTGAGCGAGGCAACACGCAAGCACATGAAGCAGTGGATGTTTGTTAGAGTTAAAAAGATAAAAGACTACCTGAAAGCACATCTCCTGGTTTCCGTAGCCTAAATCAATAGGCACCTAATGGAACAGGAAATCCAGTGGACTCCACAGGTATAGGTGCAAAGCAAGTTCCAAAGGGCCGGGAGTGGACTGTGGTGGCCTGAGACCTCCGGGAATAGGTGGCCTACCCGCTCATACTTGCCAATTTTCCCAGCTCCATGATCGTTTATTTTTGGGTTTCTACAGGTGGCAGGGACAAAATAGCAAGCTTGGACTCACTCCAGAGAAGGTGAGCTAGGACAAAAGCAAGAACCCCAAGAAGTGACCACCGAGAGTGTGGGCAGCACCTTCCCTACATGACTAAACAGATTCCCTCTTTTTTGTTTTCCTTTTCCCTCATCCTGCCTCCAAGACATCTCACCCAATAACGCCCGTGGAAACCACAATCCTACACAAAACTGCATGTATCTGGAAGAAACAAAGCAAAGGAAATAGCATACCAAGACGCTTCTCTTTGTAACCCTGAGCACTGGAACAGTTCAGTGAGAGAATCGAGGAAGGGTATAAGAGTCAAGCATTGAGAAATGAAATATGTGGAGAACCAGGATAGAATCAATATTCACATATTTCCATTAGGCTGTAGTTTTCCAGCACGAAGTAAACACCTGTTCATATCTTCAGGTCTTACAAACGTGCAACCACAAAAGTTATAAACTTAACTACCAATTATTACTCCAGGGCTTACCTGGTGCTAGACTGCATAAATTTAAAAAAACAATTCAGACCCGTTTCTAAAGGAGCTTATATTTCCAGGTAAACAGACAAACATTGCGCAAGTACATCCATGGACTGGTATTTTATCACAAATGATAGTAACTGAAATTCAGGTTATAAATAAGGCAGTATGAAACTGGGAAAGGATATCATTTCCCCAGATGTACAGAGTAAACTTTTAGCTGAGATTTAAAGGAAGAGAAGGGGTTATTCAGGCCAAGAGTGTTGGGAAATGTGTGCTAAGCAGAGAGAACACAGGTCAAACAGGAGTTTTAAAGTAAATTCAACAATGGAATGTTCAATGACCCGAAAGAAGCCAGCTTGGTAGTAGATACAGTTGGGAGAAGAACAAGGAGCTAGATCACGTAGTTCTTCTTAGGTCAAGGGCAGGAATTTATAGTTTATTCTAAGCGCATTGTGAAATCACTTAAGATTTTTAAGACAGGATGGTGACATGATCTGATTTATGTTTTAAGGACACCATCTTACCTATTGTGTGCAAGAAAGGGGCAAGAGGTCCTTTACAGATACTATTGTAGAAGCTCTGGTGAGAGATAAAGCAGTTTGGGTCAGGGAGGTAGTGGCATAGGTAGGGGTAGGTAGTAGGTACGGAAAGATTCGAGACATGCTTTGAAGTTAGAATCCACAAGCTTTAACAATAGTGCAAGCCAGGCATGGTGGTACATGCCTATAATCCCAGCATTTGCAGGATGCTGAGGCAAGACGGTTGCAGCAAGTTTGAGCCCTGCCCAGGCAATTTAGTGAGATGCTGTCTCAAAAAACAGGAAAAAAATCTAGGAATGTAGCTCACTGTAAATGTTCCAGGTTCAATCCTCAGTATAAGAAAAAAAAAAAAAAAACTAAAAGAAAAAATACATACAGTAATCATTTGAACAGCTGTAGGGGTAGGAAAGAGGATTTAAAAAGTGAATTCCAAGTTTCTAGATTGGGAAGCTAGATGAATATGCTTTCATTCACTGAGTTAGAAACATAGCAGAAGAAAATCTTTCTTTTGGAGGAGGTAATTTCTCAAACTCAGTTTGGAGCATGGTATATCTGAGACAGAGACCTCTGAGAGGGGTGTCAAGGTGCCTCTTGGGTGGATATTTGAGACCCAATTTCAAGAGATGTCAGTTTGGAGACATAAATGTGAGATTCATCAACACAGAGGCAGTATTTGAAGAACTGAAAAGCAGTGAAGATAAAGTTGTCCTTAGAGATATTTAAGTTTAAATTCATTTCTCAGTTTACAATGACAGTGGGCCCAAAGAAGTGAAATTGGTTTTGGAAATGGTGCTGATCAGACAGCTGTTTCCATTTCATAATGCATTCTCAACATTTACCATCAAAATGGTCCAGAATGAGAAGCCCTTTGAATGAAGCATAATTCTGTCGGTGTAGTTCATGGTACCACACTATGGCCTGTTTCAGAGTCTCTTTCTTTTCTTTCTTTCTTTCTTTCTTTCTTTCTTTCTTTCTTTCTTTCTTTCTTTCTTTCTTTCTTTTTCTCTGTCTCTCTCTGTTTCTCTGTCTCTCTCTCTCTCTCTCATACATAAACCCACAGTACTAGGGGTGAAACCTAGGACCTTGTTACTGAGTTATATAACCAGTCCTTTTTTTTCTTTCCATTTTGAGACAAAAATCTTGCTAAATTACCCAGGCTGGGCTCGAATTTATGATCCTCCTCCCTCAACCTTCCAGAGTGCTGGGATTACAAGCCTGCACCATCACACTCATGTCAGGAATAGTGAAAAAGTTGTAATTTTATTCACTAAAAATACAGTTATGATATAAAAGACATTATTAGTTTGCCTGCCTCCGATATGTGTAGCTTCATGTGTATACATTTGCATACATTCCATCCAATTCAGCAGATATATAATGTGCACAGAGGTACAAGAGGAAGTCTGTGTCCCACAGCGAACCAAGGCTACTGCAGATGGGAGGTACAAGCACACACACAAGCAATGGCTAACGCTGTCGCTGAGCTACAGGCAGCATAATTTGGTTGACATTAGAGCATGATTGCTTTAGACTAAGAGTTCTGAGGAAGTGTGAGATTTGAATAAAATAATTATGTCAGATAGTGAACATACCCCTGAAATAATAGACATCAAAACAATAGACATAGCTCTAAAACAACAAACACAATTTATCACTTCTTACTCTACTGTTCTAAGTACTTTATAACTGTTAATCTAGTTAGTTATTACAACAATCTCATAACTTAGGTGTTATGAAATCTGATATTCAGGTACAGATCCCTGTTTTACAGATTCTAGAGCCCAAAAGGACTAACCAAATCAACAGCCAAGAGCTGGATTTGAATCCTAGCCATCTAAGCACTGTTCTTAGTACGCCCTACCACCTTAGGAGTGAAGGCCACGACTTTCACAAACAGGGCAGAGGCAGCAAGGGGAGGAAAGGTGTTTCACGAAAAGAGAGGAGCTGAGCAAATGGCACAGAGATTGGGCATATACTTACTCATGCTTTGGCGTTTTATTGAGACCAGTGAATTATTTAGCTGTGGAAAGTGGATCAAAAACTGGGCATTTATCTTTGTTTGACTTTGTTTAACTTCCCACAAGGGTCTTTTCTTGCATCATAGTACTAACAGTGAAATGCAGTTTTGCTCGCTCGTCTGAGCAAAGCCCAGTGCTACGCTCTTCACCGGCATTATAACTTCATCCCCACAATGGCCTTGGTAGGGAGGTGTTGCATTTCAAAAGGAGAAACAGTTCAAGTCCTGCCTCCACTTGACCTCTATTTTGGAGAGTACTAGTGATTCCCCAGGAGGCATGTCAGTATTCGGCTTCATGTTGCATCCACTTCTTGGAGCCTAGGAGCCCCCAGGGATGGAGTATACCTATGCATTAACATGCGTAGCTTCTTTGACAGTGGAAAATACCAATCGATATCTTTGCCAAAATCTTCCACTCACTGTTGCAGTTGGCCAACCTTTGCTGTGTTGTGAAAGTCAACAGTTAAGTATGAAAACGGGCCTCTCTTTCCAAAAATTTAATTGCATTGTTAGGAATTAGTTGAAACTGGGCTTTGTTCTATGTGGGGAAAGCTAGGAATAAGCTTGCCCGTAATGCCTAAACCTGGCTTGCAGTTCAGAGCAATTGCTAAAACATTTGATGCAATCCTGAACAGCACTGGCAGCAATGTGGTGTCCAGCTCAGTGATTACCCATTGTACCCATAGTACTCAGGGCACAGTTCTAGGCCCTGCAAGGAGACTACAAATCAGTGTCTACAGAAAGGGACTGCTCTAGCATGGATCCAGTGGCAAGTATCATCAAATGTAAAGAATGACAGTCAAGTGAGAGCGAGGTAAAAATTCACAGCCCTAGGGGCAGCCAGGGCTGAATTCCTAAGCATCAGCTTTGTTTGTGCAAGTTAAATCTGAGAAGAAAGAAGACTCTGATCAGTCCTGTTGTCTTCCAGATTGGAGGGAGAGTCAAGACCTCATCCCAGAACAACATTTAGGAAAGCAACAAAGAACAAAAGATAAGATAACTGAAGCTTTTAATGCAAGAAGAAGGAGGATGGATGGAGGGACAATTGGGATGTTTACTCTCATTTTCAAGGCCAAGAATGTAATGAAGACCCTCTTGAACTCTGTTTGGAAGAAGATTCTCAAAAGAGTCTTCCTGGAATGCCAGTTACTAAACCATAGCTGTGTGCCTCTTGCCTTGGTTTGCTCATCTGTAAGAGACAATATCAACTGCTACATTGCAGATATTCTTCTGAGGATTAAGGATGAGGAGCTCAGTGGATGGCTTTCAAGCATCAGTGTGTAGATTACATTGTTTTATACGCTGCCCGCTAGCCTCATCTTTAGGTAAACTGACTCATTTCATGGAAACTTCAAGATCATCAGGCCAACACCTGAAAGTGACAGACGAGCAGGGAAGAGGCAGTGTGAGTCTTGCCCAAGGGTTCTTGCATGGCTCAAGAGTGCTCAGGAAACAAGATGCCCAGAGAATATTTTGATTTTTCCTTGCTGGAGAATAGAATGTTGGAAACTGCTGTGAATCCAGGACTCACTCTGCTGAGGGTTTATGACACAGTCTCATTTTATTCTGACAGGAGCGCTAGGAGGCACATATCTTCACTTTATAAGTCAGGAGCCAGAGGTTCTAAATAGGAATCGCTTCCCTGGGTCAAAGGACCAATAAGTAGATGAGGGGAGTTCAAAGCCAGGTTAAATAAATCCAGGCCCATTTGACCCTGCACCATCACATCACGTTATCTTCCTCCTCCCAAAGACCTATATCTGAAGGTTTCCATAGCACCAACTGAAAATAGTGGTGGTTAGGGAGGGAATGTTTTTATTTTCTATTTTTTAAAAAGTCTGCCTCTGACTCACTGCATGACCTTCCTTCGTGCTGCTCAATTTTGTAATCTAAAATGGCTAAAAGTACCTAGTGACCCAGTCCTCTTTCACCCCTACAGCTGGTGAGTCACACAAAAAGAAAATTGTCCTCCGTTGCTCTGAATCTACATGGTTCTTAACTCAAAAATCACTTATTTAAGACTGTCCATATGCAGTTTTTTATGATAATCCGAGTTTGGTGTATCCTTCCATCAGCAAATCCATCATGCCTCCAAACAAACACATGATTCCCAAGCCATACCATTAGCATACATGTAAGATTCAGGTGATGGTATATATTTAGTGAATGTTTATTATGTGACAGGCAACCAGTAAGTACCCGTAAAAATATCAGCAGGAAGTTAAAATTTAGACTTGGATGGCCTAAAAACTATTTTATCATTTTTTATACCACTGGTTAAAAAAGCAATCTGATGCTTAGAAAGACCAGTGCACATTGCTCCTGGCTATATTACTCTTATTCTCTTACTGAGAATTTAAATTGAAATCCTGGTTTCTCTTGAGTTATCTTCATGCAGTGCTAAGAGAAAAAAATATTCATGGTACAAGGCAGTGGACCGAGTGGGGATGGATTCATAGGTTTGGATATACACTGAGTTTTCCTTTCACTTGTAGAATTGTATCTAATGGCTCAGTCTGTGGTCTGTCTGGTCCTCATTTTAGACTTGTGTGTTATTCCTTTGTCTTTATTTGGCAGTTGAGTTATCCCTCGCTGTTTGCTAGTGTCTCTGAAAAGGCAACTTAGGGCAAAGGCATCAGACCTTGAAACATTTCTTCTCTGTCTGACATCAAATACCTCTGTGACTGTGGGGAAGTTACTTAACCTATCTCAGCCTGGGTCGTCTAACTGCCAAAGAACACCCTAATAACTAAACAACAAAGGTATAGAATGATGAAAGGAGAAAAAACTCCTGGGATTTGTGCATAGGGAATAAACAGTACCTTGGTTAGATACTAGCATCATCCTCAGGAAGATTCATCTCCCAGTCTCTCTTCCCACATTACTCCCATATTCAAAAGTCAAATGAAGGCTTTTCAAATGGATCTCTGATGTGGTGCTATTCACCCCTTTTTGTAACATCGAGGTAGATAATCTGCATGCAAGTCTGAGCAATGATTTCATTTACATGCTTGTCTTTTACTGATCTTCACTACAGGCATCCTATTTGTTACCTCAATTGATCTTCACAACAGGCTCCTGAGAACTGTAAGCCAGCGTGGTTATTCTTCAGTCACAGATGACCGAGCTGTGAGGTTAAGTGATTGGTGCAAGGTTCCATCCGGATTCAGACAAGGGACTCCCACTTCTGCCCATATGCTTTTCAGTGTATCAACAGCCATGAGATTTTCGTCACATGTTAAGTGAGAGTCAGTGGTATTGTGGAAGAAAATAAAATCTGGCAAATAAACACCGATGAAGAACAAGTCAGCCAGCCCAGTCCCACTCACCTCCACTGGACACCACTGGGCCTCTGTCTGTGTCCCTCTCTCCCTAGCCCCCTGTTGCAGCTCCTCTATTTGCTCAGAGCTCCTCTGGGCCAAGGGGTTAGCTCAAATCCAGGTTCCTCCATAAGGCGTTTGACCAAACACTCCACCCATTTTTTCAACCAAACATTTGCTAACTGCCTGCTAGTGTGCTCCATTTGCTCTTGTGGGGTTTTCTTCTAGGAAGAAGAAATCATAAAAAGAAACTCAACAGTAAAGATATATGCTCTTCTTGAGGATAATAAATGCTGAAGTAGAAAAAAATCACAAAGAAAAGGGATGTGACACTTCTGAGGGAAAAGATACAACTTGAGATTGGATGCTGGGAATGGCCTCATTGAGCCGGTGACATTTGATTAAAGACTGAATAAAGGTGGAGGAGGAAATGATCTGAACATCTGGGGGTGAGAATCTCAGGAAGAGGGAATTGCAAGTATCCAGGTCTTGAGCCAGAATGTGCATGAACTGCTTAAGGAAAGGAAAGGAGGTTGTTTAGAGCCCAGGGAAGGGCAGGGTAGTGGATGACCAGGACATAGAGGACTTCATTATGTACCTTTCATAGTGTACTCGAAGGCCTTTCTATTGTTGTGTATGAGTTGGAAAGTGATTAGATTTGGACAGGACCTGAATTTTATTTGCACAGATGTCTTGCCCTTCTTAACCGAGTAACATAACTTTGAATCCAGAACGTGGACTCTGGAACCAAATTGCTTGTGTTTGAATCTTGACTTTGCCACTTATTAGCTAGTAACTTTGGCCCGAGAAACTTGCCTAAACCCCAGTTTCCTCATCCGTAAATGAGAACAATGATATATTTACCCTCAAGCAGTTAAGATTAAGTAATACTATTGCACATGTAAAATACTCTGCATGGTGTCTGACATGTAGAGTATATATTCAGTAAATATTAAAGGTAATAATAGGTGAATGAATTTTTTAAAAATTTGGAAGCTATTTTGGAACATACTGTCCAGTGGTTCAGAAATCTGACTGGTGATACCTAGATGAAGAGGCAAGTACCACCACTCTGACCTGACATATCTTAGGAGATTCAGGAATGCTTTTTGTACTAATGGAAGCTTGATCAGGAAACTAAAATCACAAGTGGTACGGAATTAGGGACTCATTGTATGAGTTAGATCTTACACAACTGATATAAGGTAAAAGGCATGTGGGGAAGTGCTAAAAAATCCATGGAAATAGCAATAAAGAGGTATTAATAAACTTGTGTATATATTAAATGCTGGAAAGAACCTCACAGAAATGTTCATAATTAACATCTCTGGCTGATTATAACAGATTTTATTCTGACCTTCATTTATTTCACTTTCTAATTTTGTATATCAAACAGGTATTTAAATCAGAAATGTAAGTATATGTGTTAACATTTATTGTTCATGTATTATTTATTGTACCTAACACTTGTTTCTTCTAAAAAAATAAACACAATGTATTGGAAGCAATATAGTTAATTACGGGGAAGGCACAAGGAAGATGAAATCAGAGAATATCAAGTCTTGAAGTATCAAAGACTATGCAGCCAGGTGCTCATTTGAAAACGATGCCTATTAAGTCAGAGATCACACAGAGCCTGGAGAGAATCCAGAATTTCTGAGCTGTGCATCCCTTACCATACCTTGAACTCTCTGAGGTTGCAGTCAAGGTTGATTTTAGGATACAGATAATAATCAAGAAAGGAGAGGGGAGAAATGGCCCTGAATCTTAGCCTTATTTGGTTGGAAGTGGAAAATTTCTCTCAAAGGCATGTACACTAAATCAATCTACTGTCTTCAAAACCCTGGGGTGCCTATAGCAGTATTCTGATCACTAATCATCACTTTTCTCCTCAGCATTCCAGCAAAAACTCAAGAGGTGATCCAAGTGTAGACTGTAGCACTTAGACAGTGGCCTTGGTGCATGCTGTAGCTCTTTTTTCTCCTACTGGTAGCAGAGATGAGCTTGCTTGCAGTTACTTCTGGATCTCAACAGAGAGCTCATAAAACTCAGAAAACCCTCCTACCAGTCAAGCTGACACGTAATTGGCCACTCAGCTAAAATAAGTAACGAGCCAAGAAAGATGTTTTAAAGTGTGATTTTGATGCACAGGATTTTATTACTGGCATTAGTCCAGTAATTGTGAGCCAGTGAATTTTCAAAGCCGTCTTAAAATAATAATCCTTTCCCTCAATACTCAGATACAGTAGAGAAAGAAGGGTAAGGTTTTTTAGTACCTTCAGGGACATCTACAATCTGAGGATTTACTTTTAATAGATTATTGCATGGGAAGTATAAACAAGGTTTGGGTAAAAACACAGGAAGTCAAAAAATAAAGACTATATTTTGATGCTTTTATCCATCAGCTTTATGGCTTTAGGCGAAACATTTCATTTTTTACCTTTGGTTTCTCCCACAAGAAGATTGGGATAATATTCATACTTGTACTTTGAAACCCTACTGTATTATTTGGAGGCCAGCAGGGTGACTATGGAAACATTTGAATATTATTAGTTTAATTAACTATGTGTATAGAACTAGTTCTCCATGAAATTAGTCTTCTCTACACAATGAAATTGGTTGCCAGGTATACAATGTTTATATTTCTGAACGATTTGAAAAAGAAAGTAGGAGGAGGAAAAATAAATTATTCTTTTCCTGGAAAGCTCTGTTATTTAATCCTCTTCTTGGAGTGAAAAAAAAATTCTTAGCCACACTGTAGGGAAGAGAACACAGATTTCTCTTTGATGTCACCACTCAACGAGTGGTCAGTATCACTTCCTCTTTTTCACCAACAGATCCAAAGATCTTATGTTAGGGTTTCTTTAGTGATGACCTCAAACATTTAAGTCCCCTGCTTGAACATGTGCCATAGCCAAAACAACCAAAAGAAAAAGCAGAAGAGCAGGAAAGGGGGTGGAAAGAGAGAGATAATATTGTATTCTTTGGAAAGATGACAGTTAATGAGGCTCACTGTAGTTTAGAGCCAAATAATTTTCTTCAAAGAGAGAAAAAGGTCGTGACAACCCCCAGACAGAAGCAAGAAGAAGCAGAACCATGAGTACTGGGCTCCAACTGGTGATGTCACCACACATTTGTGGTTCCCCAGAATGGAGCTAGAGCAAGCTGGGCTTTCACACCCTGCCCTGCATTAACAAGCAGAGACCTGGCCTTTCAGGCACAATCCTTCTAGGGATGGGCCTCTCTTCCCCATCGTGGGTTCAGCCTGAAGCCAGGGTGAGTCCTGTAAAGATGCTGAACCCTTCTTGATCCGCACACATTCGGCTGTCATGCCTGCCAGTGTTGCTCCTAATCCAGCCAACAAATCAACACCTACCCAGGGGAAGGTGTGGGAATCCAAGCAGGCAGATGGCCTTTTAAAGAGCCAGAGAAGCAAGAGCTGGGGCAGGAAACCTCTTCAGCAGCTCTTTCACTGTGCCATTCTTTACCTCCTGAGTCATTCTCCACACCCTACAAGTTCAAACCGAGACTCAACAGCCTTACCAGAGATGGAGAGATGCTACAGTTGCTGCCTTTTGTACAGCAATGGCAATTTGCCATGGCACCGTCCCTGTTGCATTTCAGACAATCTCAGGCACCTTCTTTCTAGTTGTTGATTCTCAGCTGGATCAAGGGAAGGCCAGTCTTGTACCAAACAAAGGCAGAGGTCATTACCAGTGTTGAGCCTTGAGCAGTACAGGTGTAATTATACACATTGGTTGATTGATGCAGGCTCTGTTGGGAAATATTGTATTTTAAGGAAGTGTAACCTTTTAACTTTTGAGCTGGCCACGGAAGCATGCCAAGAAAAGAACTGGATTAAACTATAGAACAATCCAATGAGCCAAGGGCACTGAGCTGGGCATGAACCAAGCAGGATACAGAGAACAGAAGATTCAGGGAGAAGTGAGCAGGCAGGTAATTGTCAGATACCACAACAAATGCCAATAACATGATTCTTCCCTCTCCTATTTGCCAAATCCAAGTTTGGGCATGTTAGTTGCCTCTAACTCTTCCCCCCTCCACAACACTGCCATCTATGTTTAATAGAGTTGCATTACCCAGATTTCTGTGGCTCGGAATCTTGAAATCTTGGGGTCTTTAGTCTGAAAAGACTCAGCTAGCCCATGTGCAGTGTTAGTTTCTCTCCAGTAGGCTCCAACACTTCATTTTTAAAAATCTAAATATAAAACCCATTATCTATATCCTTGGAATTGACCAGACAAGACAGAGCCATAAAACTGTTGAGTTTAGAGGAAACGAAGTGGTTACTTCATATTTGGATCTCCAGAACTCCTCTTCTGAAGTGTTCATTCAGCCTTTTCTTTGATATCTCCACAACAGAGGACTTTTGACCTCCCAAAGTGGCCTAGCTGATGGTTGGTCATATTTAAAAGCAGGACAGTTTAAGTCTGGGCTTACATACTGGCTTAATTATAGGAAAGGATTCATCACAGTGAGAAATCACTTACCAATGATATCTGGGGCTATGCGAGGTTGTTGACTTGAGTGGATGCAAATAGAGGTCATGACTAAATGCTACACCCCAACTCCCAACCTGTATGTAAGTCTCTGCTCAACAGCAAATAAACAAAGCAGTCTGCTACATACAGTGCTCCTCTATTGCCAGGACTAGAGAAATATTTACAAAAGAAATGTTAGGTATGGCTGATGAAGCCTTATGTGAGAAACAAAATTTGATCATAGGGAAAGAAGCTCTATTTGAAATAATTTGATACTAGCTTTTAAGGATTCATGTGAAAATCAGGCCAAATTCATACATTTTGGGACAGGAGATGGACAATTAATATCTCCCAGCATCTGTCTGTATTTTTATTGGTTTTCTTCTGCCCTCTTATCTTGAATCTATGTTCAAGTCAGAATTTATTTCCATACACTAGAAATTTCCCAAAAGAAGTTGTAATAGATTTTCCTTATCTTAATACTAGAAAACTGAAACTCAGAAAGGGTTGGTAGTTGATTCAAAGTCGCAGAACCCATTTGAGTTGAAGCCAGAACAGAAGCATGTACCAGCTCCAACTCTACTATAATACGCTGAGCAGGTGTAAGGTATGAAAGTCTTGCTAACGTCCTATAGATCAGGAGCTATAGAAAGTTTTACGGCATAGAAAACTGAGCCACTTTTTCTTGAGTCCCCATTTGGTAACCTTATGAAATACGGGTTGCTAGTGTATCTCTTAAAATATCAATAAACAACAAATAAATAGAAAACACTGCACATCTGCATGTAAGTATATAAAAATTGTCCCCATTAGAAGAACTTCTAGTTATTGAGCATGCACTATGTCCCAAGCATTTTCCACCACGACGACCGCTCATCTTTCTAATGATCTGTATGTGAGCTCCATGCATTGATTGCTTTCCAGGTGAAGGTCAGAAGACACATGACCAGTGTGACAGAGCTAACACTGCAGCCTGGTTTTCCTGGCCCCAGAACCCACCCAGAACTGAGGACTTTTGACCTCTGTTTTCAGCGTGGCTGCCCATCTTTCCTAGATTCTCTCAGACCTGCTTTGTGCCCCACTCACCAACAAACCCATACATTGAATATGATTGCTACTGTGCTGTGTGTAGAGTAAACTTGTGATTGGTTCTTTTTCAAATTACCCAACTTGCACATCTTGTCAGCCAATTTTGGTAGTATCCTTCGTGTTTATTGTTGTGTTCTTCATATTTTATGCATCTTATGGAAAATAAGACAAACTAAGATACTAACCCAAGTTTACCTGGTGGTGAGAAGCAATGTTTGATGCATGAACATAAATAAATAAATAGAAATAGTAATGTTCTGAAAGTATTTGTTCATAGTTTGAAAAAATTATTGTTTGTGTTGACACATGTTTATATTAAACAACTATCTTCACAATTTAAAGTCAGAACATTTCTGTTTTTGCAGCAGAGCTGGTCCAATATTTGGTCATAAATTCTTTTAATAAAGATCCATTTTTTCTTTAATGCATGTATATGTAAAGTACATACTTGATGTTTTAAATCTATGTTTTAAACAAGAATCAAATCAGAATTTTATTAACAAAGAAATATCTACTTTTGAGGTTAGAGTAGTATTTTTATATAGCAGAGTAGATCATGATTCTGATCAGTGGTTTTATAAGTAAAATAAAATGTGACTGTGTGATTTCAGAAGAATAATTCTATGGCTGATTTTATGTTTGGGGTGGAGACTATAAGCACAGAACATAATGGTCCACTTGGAGCTCTGCTGCAGGGGTAATTATATTACATGGCAGCTCAGAGAAGCCCCTCTGTGGGCTGATGGAAGAACTCAGGATCCTGTCAATAAAGTTGCTATAAAATGTAATGTGTATGTTAGAGTCTTATTTTGTATCCCAAGGAAATGTAAACTTCTTTTTCTAAAATTCACTGAGGATACTTCATTTTAAAAATACAGAATCAGGGATAGAAGCAAAACAAAAGTAACTGACTTTGTTTGTTACAGGGTCTCGCTATGTAGTCCAGGCTGACTTTGAACTTTTTGATCTTCCTGCTCCAGCCTCCAAACTTCTGGGATTACAGGCATGTACCACCAAAGTAGATGCTTTTTAATGAGTACTTACTATGGTACTTACTATAAGCCAGTGAGTTCACAGGTATTAACTCTTTGGTCATTATGACAGCTGCATGAAAGAGAAACTGATTTTCTCCATTTGTTCAAAAGCCCAAGTTTACCCCATTGCAGCATGAGAGAGCTTTTGTTCAGATCTGGGGAGTGACTCCAGGTTCTGGGGTCACCTAACACAGTACTGTGCTGCCTTGACTGAATTCTGACCAGTGGGAAGGTCATGTAGACAGTGGCCCACAGTGCCAGTCCACCGTGTGTTAAGGGTTTGAGCAGGCTCTTGTGGTTTCTGCCACCCCACTGCCACCATCTTCTTTACGAGACAGAGCTTCCTATTTTGATGGGTGAGTCATCTAGCTATTCTTCATGATCTTCAGCTCAATTTCCTCTTTCAGGGGAAGCTTATTCATGCTCAGAAATGGGCTTCCTTTACCACTCACCTCCGAATGTTTTGTTCATCATTCTCTGAGTTGGAATAATATTTACTATGCCAACAGGAGCTACTCCTTCCTAGACCAAGGAAGCACTGATTAATTCCTACCTTGCCGAGATGTAAGGCCCCCAAAGAGCAGGACTCCTGCCTGATGTATTCTTCACTCCTATAACATCTGTCCAGTACACAGCAACCTGTTAATAAACATAGAGTGAATGACTCCCCTTTGGGAACTTTCTGGACCCCGTGGTTTTCCAGACACCTGCTTGAATACTAATTCCTTCTGTCATGAACTCAGAGAATATTCACTAAGTGACTACTATCTAAAGGGGATGTGAGATTGTGTGCCTGGAAGATGTGAATTTCTTCACACTCTGTTCATTCATATCTTTGATCATGCATTCAGTTAACATACCTTTACTGAGCACTTTCTCTGCTGAGCACATACAGTAAGTGTAGACACCAGCGTTAAGAATCAGGACTGGTGGGGCTGGGTATTTAGCTCAGCGGCATAAGAGCCTGCCTTGCAAGCAGGCAGTCGTGAGTTCGATCCCTGGTACCAATAAAAATGAAAAAAGACAAAAAAAAAAAAAAATCAGGACTGGAAGTCCCTGGCTTCCAACTTGATTTTGACATCTAATAGCTGTGAATTTGGGCAACAGTTCTTAACCTCTTTGAGTCCGTCTTTCTTCACTGCTAAATGTGAGGATTAAAGATCACAAAAGTTAAGTGATTACTCAGTGTTATCAATTAACTGCAATCATTGCTTGGTAAGTAGATCCAAGACAAATCAGATATAATCTTCATTCTTAACAAACTAATGAGCAGATAAATTATTGGAATATGAGATACAAATAAAAATGTCAGAGGAGTTCAGCTTAAGGTAGAGATGTACAATAGAGGGAATCAGGGAAGGCTCCTTCTTTTGGAAGAGGCTGCATTTGGACAGGTTGGAACATGCAGATCTGCAGAGGACAGGCATTCTGGGAAGTAGAAACAGGCAGCAAACAAACGGAGGGATTAATGAGCAAGCTCATATTCTGGGCTTCTGAGTCACTGGGCAGTCAAAGTAACAGGAATACAAGAGATACAAATGGATAGGCTGAGACATTCCTACAGAAAGAGGTTGAATGTTCCTTGGAGAGTCCTGTGAAAACTAGGCAAGGAATTTGGGTTCCAGTTCATATGGGCCAAGAGTGTTTCTAAGGGATTTGTGTGCATCATTCTCTAGTTTCATTTTGTTTTCAGCTATGGTTGCATCTGTACATATGCATGCTCACTTTTCAGATTTTAAGTAAGTTATTCTTTCATGCTTGATAAACTTGACTGTCTCGTAATTTGTTTTAACATCCATCATATCTCTTGAGTCAACGAGTAGCCCTGTAAGAAGGCTTCCTGGTAGAGGAGATCCCTGTGTTACTAGTGGAGAAATTCACATGCAGAGGTCAGATAACTTGTCTGTGGCCATGGCTCACACTCGAAATGGACTGGGATGTGAATTTTATATTTTCTCAAGAGTGTGTCTTCTGAGGTTGGAGTAGAAGAAGTAAGTGTGCTTCAAGAGGGACCTTGACCCCTGTGACCCGGGTGATAGAGAGGAGACATTTTAATCACAGGGCCCTCCAGCTTCTGGATGCTTCTGTTACCACTGGCTGTTCCACTTTGCTATGATTTGCAGTAAGTGCTGTGCAAAATGAAATCAGCTGTAGATATTTTTCTACTCTTTTGGCTTGGCCTACTGGGTACCTTTTTCCTGGCTTCCTCCCAGGTTTCTTAAAGGGCTTCAAAAGAAATTGTTATTGACTAAACTCTGGGGTTATTTATAATGGAAATCCAGTCTCTCCATCCTTCTCCACTGAAGAGTTGGGCTCTTAATCTGAACCTTGGGGAATCAGAGGCCCAGTTTGCTTTATTTAGCTTTCAGGACATTGGATTTTGTTTTTTTGGAAACAGCTCAAAGTTCCACTGCAGATAAAAGTATTCTATGTCCCAAAATCTTGGCCGCTTTAAGTAATTCATCTTCTGCTCCAAATCTTATTCTCATATTTCCCCAAATTGCACATTCTTCTTAATTTCTTTCCTTAAGCAGTCACATAACAGGGCAGTTTGGATACGGGCCAAGTTTTTTTAGCATGGTCCAGAGATAATTTATTGAAGTGCAAATTATTTACACAAAACAATTTAAGTATATTTTTCTAAAACTTTTTCTAGAAGTTTGTGAGGTCCAAAGGGGAGGTTCTATGACTATGTGTCCTGTGCTGTCTAAAGCTGAACATTGGTTCTGGTACAGAATAAGTGCTCCATCATTTTTGTAAATGAATTCATTTAGTAACTGTGCAAAAAATGAGGGCAGAGGTATGCTTTGTCTTTTATTTTCATGGTTTCCACTAGATGAGATTTTCTTCTCTCTCTTTGTCTCTCTCTGCTGTCTCTCTTTGTCTCTGTATCATACATTCACAAATTCATTCATGCTGAATATCTTGACTGTAAGTCTCTGAAAACCCTTGAACAGTTTATGTTGGTATAGGGCAATAGAAACTATTGATTTATTCATCTAAATTGTCTTTTTGGCTTAACAGTGATGCGACCTTAGTCAAGTTACCCAGACATTTTGGGCTTTGGTAAATGGAGACAGCAATCATATCTACCTCTTATAGAACAAGTGATATGGTGAGGATTAGAATTATCCCAGTCTGACATCTGCTCAGTGGTCTCACTAAATAATCCAGGATGGCCTCAAACTTGCAGCAGTTCTCCTGCCACAGACTACTGGATGCTAGGATTGTAGACATGTGTCACTGTGCCCAGCCTTCAACTCATGCCTATGTCTTATCATGTGAGCAACTACTTTGATGATAACAATATGTGATATACTAACCATTGTTGCTCTCCTATCATCTTGTTTGGAAATTTTGTACCAGTTCTTTTATTGTTTTTTTCTTTAAAATTAAAAAAATAAATAAAATGACAGTTTCTTTTGTTTAGATGAAAGCCATGAGACGATAACATAAGTTACAAATCAACTTTCTTTTGACAAAAGTTCAGATATAAATATCCAACAAAATATTTTAATCACTGAAGCATGTACTATACATACACTATCCATTTGATCAATGTATTTGAAGAAGCTGTCAATAAATTAGTGTAAATAATATCATAATTAGCATTTGGATTAATGCAAGTGTGAGTCACTTATGGAAACCGAATATGTGTTGTCATATAGTCCTTGACAGACTACTTGATGCATGTTCAAGCCTTATCTGACCTCATTGGTAATTTTCACAACTCTGTTAGGGACTTATTATCACTGATCTACCTGAGGGGGTGTAAAGTGCCCTGCCCTAGTTCTTACCACTTAGTATGTAGTTCAGGTTGTAGAAATGTTCAATGCTCTGGGAATGCATTGCTGTCTCCTTCAGCAGAAGAGCCAGGAATAAATTACCCTCTTGGGATTAATTTAAACCACCAGGTTCCCTTTGCCAAGGCCATGGCTATGCTGAAGGGGCAAGAAGTCAATAACCCACTCTGGCACTTGATAGATCTAATTTAAATATTGATTCTACTGCTTTCTAGTCACGTGCCTTGGGACAAGGGGCATAGTTCTCTGAGCTTCCGCTGGTTAGTCTGTGAGATAAAATAATGACACGTTGGAGGTTTTTGTGCAAATGGAAAGAGATGGTGCTTACAATGGGGAAAGTAGTGTAGACCGATGGACATTTGGATAAGCTAGTTTAGCCATAAATCCAGCTCTGGATTTGACAGCCTTAGGGCAGGAGAGTCTTGA